AATAAAGGTCACTGTAATATCTTTCAGAGTTATTGTCTGAATCCCGATATACATGGTAAAAGGTACAACTTCCTTAAGTTTGGTCCATGAGTGTATATACGTGTGTCTTCAATAAAGATCACTGTAATATCTTTCCGAGTTATTGTCTGAATCCCGATATACATGGTAAAAGGTACAACTTCCTTAAGTTTGGTCCATGAGTTTATATACGTGTGATCAATAAAGATCACTGTAATATCTTTCAGAGTTATTGTCTGAATTCCGATATACATGGTAAAAGGTACAACTTCCTTAAGTTTGGTCTATGAGTGTATATACGTGTGTCTTCAATAAAGGTCAATGTAATATCTTTCAGAGTTATTGTCTGAATCCCGATATACATGGTAAAAGGTACAATTTCCTTAAGTTTGGTCCATGAGTGTATATACGTGTGTCTTCAATAAAGGTCACTGTAATATCTTTCCGAGTTATTGTCTGAATCCCGATATACATGGTAAAAGGTACAACTTCCTTAAGTTTGGTCCATGAGTTTATATACGTGTGATCAATGAAGATCACTGTAATATCTTTCAGAGTTATTGTCTGAATTCCGATATACATGGTAAAAGGTACAACTTCCTTAAGTTTGGTCTATGAGTGTATATACGTGTGTCTTCAATAAAGGTCAATGTAATATCTTTCAGAGTTATTGTCTGAATCCCGATATACATGGTAAAAGGTACAATTTCCTTAAGTTTGGTCCATGAGTGTATATACGTGTGTCTTCAATAAAGGTCACTGTAATATCTTTCAGAGTTATTGTCTGAATCCCGATATACATGGTAAAAGGTACAACTTCCTTAAGTTTGGTCCATGAGTGTATATACATGTGTCTTCAATAAAGGTCACTGTAATATCTTTCAGAGTTATTGTCTGAATCCCGATATACATGGTAAAATATACAACTTCCTTAAGTTTGGTCCATGAGTGTATATACGTGTGTCTTCAATAAAGGTCACTGTAATATCTTTCAGAGTTATTGTCTGAATTCCGATATACATGGTAAAAGGTACAACTTCCTTAAGTTTGGTCCATGAGTGTATATACGTGTGTCTTCAATAAAGGTCACTGTAATATATTTCAGAGTTATTGTATGAATTCCGATATACATGGTAAAAGGTACAACTTCCTTAAGTTTGTTCCATGAGTGTATATACATGTGTCTTCAATAAAGGTCACTGTAATATCTTTCAGAGTTATTGTCTGAATCCCGATATACATGGTAAAATATACAACTTCCTTAAGTTTGGTCCATGAGTGTATAAACGTGTGTCTTCAATAAAGGTCACTGTAATATCTTTCAGAGTTATTGTCTGAATCCCGATATACATGGTAAAAGGTACAACTTCCTTAAGTTTGGTCCATGAGTGTATATACGTGTGTCTTCAATAAAGGTCACTGTAATATCTTTCAGAGTTATTGTCTGAATCCCGATATACATGGTAAAAGGTACAACTTCCTTAAGTTTGGTCCATGAGTGTATATACGTGTGTCTTCAATAAAGGTCACTGTAATATCTTTCAGAGTTATTGTCTGAATCCCGATATACATGGTAAAAGGTACAACTTCCTTAAGTTTGGTCCATGAGTGTATATACGTGTGTCTTCAATAAAGATCACTGTAATATCTTTCCGAGTTATTGTCTGAATCCCGATATACATGCTAAAAGGTACAACTTCCTTAAGTTTTGTCTCCATGAGTGTATATACGTGTATCTTCAATAAAGGTCACTCTAATATATTTCAGAGTTATTGTCTGAATCCCGATATACATGGTAAAAGGTACAACTTCCTTAAGTTTGGTCCATGAGTGTATATACGTGTGTCTTCAATAAAGGTCACTGTAATATCTTTCAGAGTTATTGTCTGAATCCCGATATACATAGTAAAAGGTACAACTTCCTTAAGTTTGGTCCATGAGTGTATATACGTGTGTCTTCAATAAAGATCACTGTAATATCTTTCCGAGTTATTGTCTGAATCCCGATATACATGGTAAAAGGTACAACTTCCTTAAGTTTGGTCCATGAGTGTATATACGTGTGATCAATAAAGATCACTGTAATATCTTTCAGAGTTATTGTCTGAATTCCGATATACATGGTAAAAGGTACAACTTCCTTAAGTTTGGTCTATGAGTGTATATACGTGTGTCTTCAATAAAGGTCAATGTAATATCTTTCAGAGTTATTGTCTGAATCCCGATATACATGGTAAAAGGTACAATTTCCTTAAGTTTGGTCCATGAGTGTATATACGTGTGTCTTCAATAAAGGTCACTGTAATATCTTTCAGAGTTATTGTCTGAATCCCGATATACATGGTAAAAGGTACAACTTCCTTAAGTTTGGTCCATGAGTGTATATACGTGTGTCTTCAATAAAGATCACTGTAATATCTTTCCGAGTTATTGTCTGAATCCCGATATACATGGTAAAAGGTACAACTTCCTTAAGTTTGGTCCATGAGTGTATATACGTGTGATCAATAAAGATCACTGTAATATCTTTCAGAGTTATTGTCTGAATCCCGATATACATGGTAAAAGGTACAACTTTCTTAAGTTTGGTCCATGAGTGTATATACGTGTGTCTTCAATAAAGGTCACTGTAATATCTTTCAGAGTTATTGTCTGAATCCCGATATACATGCTAAAAGGTACAACTTCCTTAAGTTTGGTTCATGAGTGTATATACGTGTGTCTTCAATAAAGGTCACTGTAATATCTTTCAGAGTTATTGTCTGAATCCCGATATACATGGTAAAAGGTACAACTTCCTTAAGTTTGGGTAATGAGTGTATGTATATACGTGTGTCTTCAATAAAGGTCACTGTAATATCTTTCAGAGTTATTGTCTGAATCCCGATATACATGCTAAAAGGTACAACTTCCTTAAGTTTTGTCTCCATGAGTGTATATACGTGTATCTTCAATAAAGGTCACTGTAATATATTTCAGAGTTATTGTCTGAATCCCGATATACATGCTAAAAGGTACAACTTCCTTAAGTTTTGTCTCCATGAGTGTATATACGTGTATCTTCAATAAAGGTCACTGTAATATATTTCAGAGTTATTGTCTGAATCCCGATATACATGGTAAAAGGTACAACTTCCTTAAGTTTGGTCCATGAGTGTATATACGTGTGTCTTCAATAAAGGTCACTGTAATATCTTTCAGAGTTATTGTCTGAATCCCGATATACATGGTAAAAGGTACAACTTCCTTAAGTTTGGTCCATGAGTGTATATACGTGTGTCTTCAATAAAGATCACTGTAATATCTTTCCGAGTTATTGTCTGAATCCCGATATACATGGTAAAAGGTACAACTTCCTTAAGTTTGGTCCATGAGTTTATATACGTGTGATCAATAAAGATCACTGTAATATCTTTCAGAGTTATTGTCTGAATTCCGATATACATGGTAAAAGGTACAACTTCCTTAAGTTTGGTCTATGAGTGTATATACGTGTGTCTTCAATAAAGGTCAATGTAATATCTTTCAGAGTTATTGTCTGAATCCCGATATACATGGTAAAAGGTACAATTTCCTTAAGTTTGGTCCATGAGTGTATATACGTGTGTCTTCAATAAAGGTCACTGTAATATCTTTCAGAGTTATTGTCTGAATCCCGATATACATGGTAAAAGGTACAACTTCCTTAAGTTTGGTCCATGAGTGTATATACGTGTGTCTTCAATAAAGATCACTGTAATATCTTTCCGAGTTATTGTCTGAATCCCGATATACATGGTAAAAGGTACAACTTCCTTAAGTTTGGTCCATGAGTGTATATACGTGTGATCAATAAAGATCACTGTAATATCTTTCAGAGTTATTGTCTGAATTCCGATATACATGGTAAAAGGTACAACTTCCTTAAGTTTGGTCCATGAGTGTATATACGTGTGTCTTCAATAAAGGTCACTGTAATATATTTCAGAGTTATTGTATGAATTCCGATATACATGGTAAAAGGTACAACTTCCTTAAGTTTGGTCCATGAGTGTATATACATGTGTCTTCAATAAAGGTCACTGTAATATCTTTCAGAGTTATTGTCTGAATCCCGATATACATGGTAAAATATACAACTTCCTTAAGTTTGGTCCATGAGTGTATAAACGTGTGTCTTCAATAAAGGTCACTGTAATATCTTTCAGAGTTATTGTCTGAATCCCGATATACATGGTAAAAGATACAACTTCCTTAAGTTTGGTCCATGAGTGTATATACGTGTGTCTTCAATAAAGGTCACTGTAATATATTTCAGAGTTATTGTCTGAATCCCGATATACATGCTGAAAGGTACAACTTCCTTAAGTGTTGTCCATGAGTGTATAGATATATGACGTGGAATCCATACCGGATGTAGGGAACAACAAGTGGCGGTGAGTAGTTAACAATCTGGCCACCAGAAGTCGCCACCGGTAGAACAGCTGGGTGGGCGGAAACAGATGCTCGAAGTCTAATTGGCCAGATGTCCAGTCGGTCACTTACCTTTCTAACGGTGGAATTTTACAATCATTCATTCAGTTTCCTCTTTTATAACTTTTTTTTTCAATTCTTCAATATAATTGTGTATTCACAAATAGACAAATGGGAGTTTTGTCTACACATAATGCTACCCTTTCGACAGTTTGGTAGAAATTTTGAAAATATCGATAGAAAATAAAGATATAAAAGATTTAGAGAACAACATTTTGATTACCATTACCATATTGTGATAATATAAAAGAACAAAAAGGAACTTCTTGTATAAAACATGTTTATTCTGCTAGCTTTCGAACGACATCGTTCTTCAACTGGCGTGAAGATGAAGCATAATTATCCCGCATGTGTTTCTTTTGAACGAAAAATCGAAATTTATTTTAAGGAGAAATAACGATTATTTCTAACCTTAGGGATGAAGTATGAAAGGATGAATTGTGAAGAGTAATGATAAACGGAAAAATATGTCCAGGGTAGCCTAGTGGACATGGCATCTGCTCGGTAAGCGGAACACTGTTGGGTTCGATTCTCATCCCTGGACACTTTATTTTTCCGTTTATCTCTCATATCTCTTCACAATTAATCCTTTCATACTTTATCCCTAAGGTTAGAAATAATCGTTATTTCTCCTTAAAATGAAATTCGATTTTTCGTTCAAAAGAAACACATGTGGGATACTTTTCAAATGTCGTTCTACAATCATAAGCCGCGTTATAAAACGTAATGTATGACAATATATAGAAGTACAATGAGAAACAAGTGATATGTAAATATGTAACTAACATGATGGAATTACGAAGTGAAACATTATAGTCATTTTATTGATACTTTCTTATTCTCTTGCGTTTGAAGGCACCGAGACGAGTCCATGTCAGATAAAATGATGACAATATTGACGCCACATGGACATAGAAAGACAAAATACGATTTGATAATCCATTTGAAAAAAAAAAATTTTTTTTTTGCTTATCTCCCTAGTACACGTGGTACAGGCCATGATAATCATGGTGAGTAGAAATTGACGACTGCTTTTACTGTAAGTGCACCACATGTCTACACATGTGAAAAGCAGTTCGAATTGGCACTTACAAATGTGCCAGAGCCCCGTTTGGTTACTTGCACTCGCTGGTGGGGTTGGACTTTTGCAAGACTCGGGGGCCATTGGAGCAGAAAATATTGTTGAATGTTCTCTATCAATTTATTATTATTTTAAAGAAATTTTTAATTAATAAAAAAGTATTTATACAATAGGATGTTGCTGTGATATAACCAACTTTCATATTGCGATGCCCTAATAAATTTCTCCTTTTGTTGAGATGTGGTGGTAAAACAGAAGTTGAACTATATTTTAAACATAACAAGAGATAAAATTCACATCAATAAACTTTATCCAGGCATATAACCTTATACAAGAAGTTTCACTTCGAAATATTGAAAAAGAAAATAAACAGAAAAACATATCTACATATAATAATATTATAATACACTAGCGGACGTGCCCGGCTTCGCCCGGGTTTAACCCGAGTAAAGGTTTGTCTAACGAATCTCTCGATAAAGTGAACATTTTTTACCTGGCCCCTTTAAAAATACTCGATAAGTTGAATAAAATCAATATTAATTGGTTCCCTCGGTAATTGGAAGTTAAAGGAATAGTATCTTGCCTTGGAATTGTATCATTATTCTTGTCTCAAATAAATTGCCGTGTCATCCTGAATTTTGTATTTCCTAATTTTCTACATTACAAAATCATCGTATCATTATGAAGTTATGGGGCTACACCAAAGATCCAAATTGTGCCTGCAACGTCCCACAATCAATGTCCCATATACTAGATGACTGCCCGCTGTACAAATTCAATGGAGGAATCTCCAATCTCCATTCTGTCACCCCGGAAGCCCTGAATTGGCTGAAGGACTTGCCTCTCAGACTTTAATGACCGATATGTCCTCACTTCTTTTTTCTAGATTTAATTAATTTTGTCTCCTCTCTAATTGTAAATACGCTGCTGTATCACCTCACAAGCATAAATAAATAATCGTATCATCATGATAATATTTAGAGCAGATTGTTGAATTATAACAGATAAATTAGAATATTTATCTTGATTATTTTTAGGCGAAAAGTTATTTCAAAAATTTTATTTGCTAGAAACCTTCCCAGTACTATACTAAATAACTTCCCAAAGTTTCATGGCGTTCCAATGAGTGGTTTGGTCAGGCATAAAGGACAGACACACACACATACATTCATTTATATATATATATATATAGATTAGAGCGCCATCTGTTATGAAAATTCGAAACTATTATAGACGTGTATGATTCTTTTAAAATTTAAAAGAATTATACGCGTCTATATTAGTTTAAAATTTTCATATAATAATATAAAATGACATATATACTTGTCACTATATATATATACATATCTAGTTGAAGATTTTCTTTCCATTCAATTCTCAGTGTTGCATCAGCCCAGTAGAATTGCTAATATGTAAAATACGAAAATATGTAAATTAAACGTTTGGTTGGCAGCATTGTGTCGGGGTGTTCTGGCCTTTTGATTCTTAACTCTTAAATCTGATTTTGTTATATATCAAAATTTGATTACTTCAATGCCATATATTTGCATATTGGAATACCTTTCTTTTTTTACATTCTTTATACGTTTTTACCTTTAATGTGAAACTTCTTAACAACATGAAACCTTGTCTACACAAAGGGTGAGCAAATCTGTAGACTCAATTCCTTTTTTTATTTTTTTGTTTCTGTTGGGTTCAGGTTGGATTCTTCAACTAATTATTGTAGTCGCAAGAAATATTTATTTTACGATTCTATAAAACAAGCTTGCGATGAGTGTCTTTTATTTTACATTCATGGACAAAACTTGAGGAGACTGTACCTTTTAGCAAGTATATCTGGACTTCGACAATAACTCTGAAAGATATTACAGTGACCATTATTGAAGACACACGAGATAACCAAGTGTGAACAACCTCTTTCTCCTAAAAAAAAAAAAGACGACCGATAACATCAAAGACTTTATAATTTCTTATATAATAGGTTTAGATAACCCCGGATTCTTACAGAAGTCCAACCTCAACAGTGAGTGCAAGTAACCATACGGAGCTCTGACACATTTAGTGCAATAGTCGAACTGCTTTCAATATATATATATAAGTCATAATATATGCTCTTCCACGAATAATAAAACAAACCTACAGTCAACCCAGAGAGAGATGGGCAGCTAAAGGGTGTCACTTTAGACATCAGCGACATTCCAAGGGGCTCCTGGGGTCCGTCACTTAACACCTCGGGACTTTGGAGACAGTTGGTGATTGTATTCGACACAAACGGCCGCCCGGGGGACAGCCGGGCCCGCCATCTCCATCTCTCTCTGGTTGCCTTCCAAATTCCTCTTCTAAACTTGTGGTGTGATTATTTATCTTTCCCCACCACATTATTATCACTATATTGCCACATATATACATGTAGTACACTTACAAATAAAGTAGTCGGAAACCCACCATGGCCTGTACCACGTGTATTTGGGATAATTTAAAAATATATATTCGAATATTTATAAATACAACATTGATTCTAGGTTATTAAAAATTGCGATTTTTTTTCTTTTAAATTATCATGATTGTATTAAAAATAAAAATATTTTTATTCGTTCGATATACACTCATGGACAAAAATTAAGGAAGGGAAAAGTCTTTGATGTCGATGGTCGTCTATAGAGGAAGTTTTGTTTCCGCTTTGTTTTCTCGCGTGTCTTTAATAAAAGACACTGTGTATCAAATATCTTTCAGAGTTATTGTCCCAATATACATGATAAAATGTACAACTTCATTAAGTTTTGTCCGTGAGTATATGTATAAGTTCAACCCTATCAATCAGTGCGAGTAACCAAATAGGGCTCTGACACCTCGTGAGTGTAAAAGTTGGCTTATTTTCTATATATGTGAATAGGTATGATGCACTTAGATCGTACAGAGGTAGAAAATATCTATCTACCCATCTACTGTCTATTGTTTATTCGATAAGTGAGACTGTTGTGTCAAGAAATTTCTATCCTTGGATAGAACACTCCGCCCACCAAGATCCAACCCTGGAACGTCGGATATATAAGCATGAAAACGTTAAATACAGAATTAAAGCTATAAACTGGCGAAACCGCTGTGAGGGTTCACCACTGATGAGTCAGTCCCTCCCAATACGTTTCTATTGTACTAAGTATAGTATAAATAGTGTTTTATTCAAAAAAAGAAAAATTCTTATTTTTACCTTTCTTTAATATATAGGTGTAAAAAACCGTTATACTGCCTTGTTATTTACAGGACAATAACACGCTATCAATATACAGTTAAACCTGTCGCATCCTCTAAATAGCGCCTCCCTCTCTATAGCGCCCGATTTTAAATACGTAGTACGATATGATTTACCGTAAAGATAGAGGCTGCCTGGCCGGCATTCATAGTTCTTCAAATTAAAGACACTTCGGCCAGTAAATCTTTTTATTGTCTCGACGTTTCGACAAAATCTTTTGTCCTCGTTAGGAGCGAACAAAGATTTACTGACCGAAGTGTCTTTTATTTGAAGAGATATGATTTACATTAAAAGTGACCTGTCTATAGCACCCCCTCTCTATGGCACACTATTTTGGTGAGTCCCAAGAGGGGGCGCTATAAGACAGGTTTAACTGTACAAGAAAATAAAACATTTAAACACGAAAGTTTATTTTTACAAATAAATCAAATTTCTACTGTCTTTATTGTAATGGAAAAACATTGGGAGGGCTTGGCTCATCAATGGTGAGCCCTTTCAGCAATTTCCCGAATTTATTTTTCCCAATTTTTGGCGAAACCGCTGGAAGGGTTCACACCATTGATAAGCCAAACCCTCCCAATATGTTTTCATTGCTGTAAGGAGAATAGAAATTTGAATGTTTAAATGTTTTATTTTCTTATATACTGCCTTGTGTTTAATCTACTGTTAGTACCATATTGTATGTGATAAGAATAAACACCAAATTAAAAAAACACAAGATTAAATTTAAGTTTTTTTAAAAAATGAAATTTTTTTTATTCACGTCAAAATCGTCAAACACATTTTTATATTTTTATTCTAATACTTTTTAAAATATTAAACGCAAGGCTGGCATTTTTACACACAAAAGTAACAAATTTTCGATTTCAAAAGAATACAATTAACATTCTATACTGCTTTTTGAAAAGGATTATCATAGAAAAGGAAAAATACATAGATAATTTTGTCTTATTTAGTTTTTTTCCAATATATATAATAATAAATTAAAGATTTTTTTTGCGCAAGATAACATGTTAAATCAATGTAATATTTTTTTTCACAAATTCATTTTTTAAAATCATTACTCTAATTCTAAATAACAAAATATTATAGCTAATGCGCTTACTACACATAGCTACATATTAGTCTGAAAAGTAACGCCTGCTGGAAAAGAAAAAAGAGTTATGGAAATTTACATAGCATATATAGTCGTCGTTATAAAATGGTTACATTT